TAATTAGTAAAAGTACACTTGATTTCAACAAAATGGAGTCCGGTGGTTTTCTTTCCTGATTATTGAATGAAGAAAGGCTGACAGTTCCACTGATTAATATATAATGATATATTTTGTAATATATGAAATATAGATATTTTGAACTGCAGCTTTCTGTGCTGCCAGAGGGAATTTTGAAAAACGTAGTCAAATGTTGCTGTAAGTCATGCAAAGTTAGGTTGGATAGAAATTATACTTTAAGACATAAAGGGCACAGATATGCCTGCTGATTGTATATTTTGATGGGGCACTTGAAAACCTGATGTTAGCATTGGAATTGAATGATACTGGGGTGGGATTGTGGTTGCTGTATGGGAAGTACTAGCAGAATGCTTCCTATATGTGTTTCCTATATGAATTTGGAAATAAGAGACCATTTTAGTAGACCCATAATAAGTTCTTTCTATGTCTGGGGGAAAGACAGGATAGTAAATCTATAATAAAGTCTATAAGTAAGCAGTACTTATTTATCAGCAAATCAGTACCCTGTTTCCCTGAAAATAAGACCTCCCCAGATAATAAGCCTATTTGGCCTTTTGAGTGCATGAACTAAAATAAGCCCTCACCCAAAAATAAGCCCTCCCCAAAAATATTTAAACGCATGCACAGCTGGTCCACTCCATTTCCTGGGGGAAGGGAGGAACATGCCCCACATGCACCTGCCATCCTTGCAGAATGGCCTTGTGGAGGCCGCTCTGCAAACTCTAACTCCCGCCCCTTCTCTTAGTGGCAGCCGCAAAAAGAACTAGGACTGGCAAGAGTGTGCTAGAAACAGAGTCAGAACTTCCGACCTCTCTGGATCAGCTGATCTGAGGGCTGCGGGCCGAGGTTAAAGGGCCACTTGCACCTCAAAAATAATAAAACCTCCCCCAAAATAAGGCCAAGCACTTATTTTGGAGGGCCAAAGAGAATAAGAGCCTGTCTTATTTGGGGGGAAACACGGTAGTAAGAATCTGATTAGTTAATGTGCATATACAAATTTCAATAGTAAACAGAGGTTTGGCAATGATAAAGATGAGACACTTTATTGATTTGAACATTTTTTATTGAAACAGTCACATCCCCATATTTGCATGATGTGTGCAGGAAAATGAATATAGCATTTATCTTTAGCTTAAAGAATCAGTACCTTTTCCTGAGCGCTACAATCCCTTTTTGGACAGTACATTTGAAGTATTGCACAGCTTTGATATATATTTAATCTCTATGCACAGTGTCATTGAGGACAGACCTTTCTGCTATAAGGACAGGAAAAAGTAGGAGAAGGCTGCCATAGAATGCAGTTACAATCTTCATATGATTTACTATGCTTAGGTGCACTTGGCTAGCTAGTTCATTTTCTAAACAATGCCTGTGCGCCCTTTTCACTCTCAGATTTTCTCTGAAACTATTTTCCAATGTACCAGAAGGCAAGATAAGAAATAAAAGATGATTTTTGATGATTGAAACTAATCAAGGAGAGCAGCAACCTAGTTTAGTTTAGTTTAGTTTATTCAATTTGTAGGCCGCCCTATTCCCCGAAGGGACTC